TGTGTGTGTGTGTGTGTGTGGCTTCCCTATCGCCGTCTGACGTGGAGGTCTTCTTGTCTACGTACAGGCGGGCCTCACACCACCCCTCTACACATGCAGGATGTATACTTCCGTTTTCTAAGGGAAGATTCATTCTGGAGACTTCTTTTTTTTTTTTTGTGACGAGGACAATTTCTCGATTTGTGTGTGTCGCTCCAACTGTGACAGATGCCCCAAAGACAGGCCCGCGGCTACAAGGGCATATACCGGATCTTTTTTGAGAACCCGTTTTCTGAAGTCGGTGCCCAAAACCCGTAGCATAACGCACATGCATTGTGTACGAATACAACGCACCACAGGCATTGTGTACGAATACAACGCACCTCATGCGTTGTATTCATATACAACGCACATGCGTTTTGTTCGGGGGAAGACTGTAGGTTGTAAGGGGCCCACGCCCACAGGAAACTTTCTGCGCCCACCCTAGGTGAAGGCAGGCCCCCGGGAAATCCAACGAGACCTTTTTTTGAGGCCGATGTGATGTGAGCAGAAAGAGGCCCCGTGGATTGGTTGCTACACACAGCATCTCCAACTGACCGGTAGGCCGGATTGGTTGGTCGGTTGACGATGCTGGGCCTAGCAAAGATGCTGAGGCCCAGGGCACTTACAGTTGAGCCCCAGGCACATTCTGGAAGGGCCCTGCAGGCAGCTACTGGGACAGAGGCCAAGCATCCGAAGCCTGCCTCGCCCAGCCTCCCAAGCACAAAAGGAAGTGAGGCTACTCACTTCAGGACGTTCTGGCTGGCTGAACGGCGGCAGTGCTACTGGAGTGCTGGCTTGCTGGATGAGCGTCGGGCAGAGTGTGGAAGGGCGCTGGCGGGGTGTGAGGAAGAAGCTGCGTGAGTGCAGCATGAGCGCAGCAGCCATAGCCGGGCTGCTGGTGCCATGGCCTGGGAGGTTGAGCGGAGGTCCTTGGACGAGGGACAGAGTGGGGAAGTCGAGGGAAGGGCGACACATGTGGGCGCTTACCCACACGTGGTTAAAGCACCAGTACACGCCCCCAGCCTTGCAGTCCGAAACTTGTCGCCACAAGAAAACAAGGCCGAAACGTCAAATGCTGGGCCCGCTGTTGATAAATTTGATCGGCGGCCCCGTTTTCGTTTTGCGCCTCCAGAAAAAAAAAAATTGAGGTGTCAGATCCGCGGCCCAGGTGCCCATGTACTGGTGGTTTAATAGGTGGTGTCATTTTCGCCGAATTTTTCACCGAAACTACCATATTGTGGCGATGCGCTGAAAAACACCGAATTTTCGGCCTCCATTAACCATCTCTCTGGTTTGGCCAGTTTGAAACAAATGGTGGACGAAGACCATGATCAGGGGACGGTTGGACGATGCGATGCCAAACCACAAACCATGAAGACAGAGAAAGATACATTCCCGACCATGCGATGTCAAACCACAAACCACGCAGAAGTAGAAAGATACACGACAGACATAGAGAGA